CAACTATTAGTCCAAGAACTTTGTGCAAGTTAGTCTATAATGGTTAAATTTAGGGTAAATTACACAAATGATCCCCCAACTATAGGATACTACTTTGTTGAGTCTCCGACTATTAAAAGTTACAAAATAGTCACCTAACTATTCATAGGTTCCAAACTCATCATTTTCCATTAAAAAATTGGCGATTGTCTGACCTAGACGTTATATGCTCATTGGGATATGGTAAAATCTGATCTCAGAACTATTTGAGTTGTATTTTGTGGATTAAATCTCTTTTATATTATGTTGTCAAGTCAGTGCTTGAAACATTATCCCGTCAAGACAATACTTGAAAGTAATGACGATGACAATAAACATCATTAAAAATATAATTTTATCATATTTCAGTCAACAGGTAATACCATCAATTTTTTAAAAAGGACGGGTTTGTAACATATGAATAGTCAGGTGACCATTTTGTAATCTTTAATAGTTAAGGGACCATTTTATAATTTTTAATAGTCATAAGACTCAACAAAACATCACTTTATAACAAGGACTATTTTTGTACCTTACCCTTAAATTTATTAAGTTCAATTATGTTTAATAATTTATTGCCCGTGTGTTTTAGATTTAATTTCTCTTTTTCCAATTTCATAACTTCTAGTCCATGTAGTTTTGTTGGCGATTTTCCTGATATATCACCGATGACCGGTAATATTACCGATCTAACACCGGTCAGACTATATTTCCCGATCTAACACCCTTAGCAGTAAAGTGTGCCCCCTGCACCGCGTTATACGATGATTTGGTGCCACGTGGGGTATAGCACGCCCCCTGCACCGCGCTATACTGTGAGCTGGCGCCACGTGGGTATAGCGCGGCCCCTGTAGCACGCTATACCTGTATATCTGACACGTGGGGTATAGCGCGGTGCAGGGGGCACGCTATACCCCTAATTACCGAACCCTCACGTCCCCATCCTCCCTATAAATACCCCATCCTCCCTATAAGTACCCCATCCTCAATCACTTTTATCACACCAAATTCTCTCAAATTCTCTAAATTTCTCTCAAATACTCTCTTTTTAAGGTATATTTTATAATATTTTTACTGTTATGTTTTTACTTTATTTAATATTTTACTAATATAATTCTTTTGCAGATATATAATGGAAGACAATCTACTTCGCTCGGATGGAAATCATATATCTCTACACTTTGCTGATACGGTAACATTTTAACGTTTTAATTTAATTTAAATTATTAGTAATATTTAGTTATTTATTTAATGCATGATTATTATATTAATAATTAAATATCTCGACACTTTGCTGATACGGTAACATTTTAACGTTTTAATTTAATTTAAATTATTATTAATAATTAGTTGATTCATTTAATGCATGATTATTAGATTTAGAATTAATTTTTGTAATTATTTATTTTTAAGAGAATGACAGTGTATTAGATCCTTTTATTAGGAATCTTAAGTTAGTGATACCCAGCCGTGTCTTGCCGTATTTAGTAGAGGCTGGATTCGGTTATATAGGTAGATATCAGGGTCACTGTAAGATAGAGCCAGACCTGATTTCTGCCTTAGTAGAGCGGTGGAGGCCGGAGACCCACACATTCCATCTTTCGTGCGGAGAGTGCACGATCACGCTTGAGGATGTTTCTATGCACCTGGGGCTTCCGGTGGATAGAGATGTGATATTGGGGATAGCTTCCGGTTCTTGGACTGCTTTGTGTCGGGATAGTCTATGACGTGTCCCGGAAAATTTTATCGGAGGTAGGATACCGTTAAATTGGTTAGATGCCAATTTTCGGGAGTTGAGCGTAGACGCCTCTGAGGATGAGGTTAAGATGTATACACAGGCATGCATACTGAAGCTGATAGGAGGGAAGCTGATAGGAGGGTTGCTGATGCCGGACAAATTGCGTAACCTAGTTCACTGTATGTGGTTGCGACATCTTAGTGACTTTCGTCTCGTCGGATCATTCAGTTGGGACTCGACAGTTTTGGCTTTGCTATATAGGGAGATGTGTGGAGCCACTGACTACAGGCGTAATGCTATCGGTGGATGTCTCCTGCTGCTGCAGTCTTGGGCATGGTATCGATTGCCCTTTTTATGTCCCGGTAGAATTGGCATCGATCGCGAAGAACTCGATCATTATGGTATGCATAAGAGGTTTCGAAGTCCACAATTGTCCCAGGATTCAACGTTCGCACCAGCCTAAACCAACCTGGAAGTTCTTTGTAAGATGCATCACATTCGCCATGAAGTTTGACAATGGCATTTTGTTTTGCCAACCAAGCTTTTTTATAGGAGACAGTGTATCCATACTACGATTGTATAGCTGAAATCAACATTGCAACAGCTATATGAGAGCTTGCTTTGACCATGAGAATGATGGCTTGGTATATCACTTCAGAGTCCAAGTTGGGATGATCTTGGTTGACCCCTCCAGCACAACATGTGTGAGGACCGTTGTATACTGTTAGTTCCCATCTGTTGTTTTTCCTCTTCCTCTTCGATACGCGAACCATCCAATTGCATCCGTTTTCGCGCTGGGCACAGTAGTAAACATATTTTTCGGTCGTGGAGCGGTCTACTCTGGACTGAACAGAATTACGGATATTGTAATTTTTGATAGCCATCATCGCTTCTTCTTTGCTTGAAAACTCCATGCCTAAAGATAACTCACCATTATTTATTGATGAGTAATACCCATAGTCACTGAGATGAGGCATATCCGTAAATTCTGGCCCGTACATTGCACCATAATCAACTTCAAACATGTGTGCAGGAGGGTCATTTTGTGCCACATTTCCTGGAACTTCATCATCATCGGAGTTGAATTGCGGTGATTCTGGGTCAATGAATAGTCCAGTCTCAGTACCATCCGCACCAGGCTCACGAAGCGGTTCTTCTGGTGGAGATGATGGTTCCTCCATGCTCTCCACATTTAGGTCGAAGAACCTACTACTTGCATGCCTTCCCCTTGAACTGGAAGGCATATCGACATTGAGATCGAAAAAGCTCGTAGTTGAATGCCTCCCCCTAGAGCTTGAAGCCATCGTGTCAAATGGAAACTGCACAGATGGTTGCGTCAATGGCATCTCCATATTAAGGTCAAAGGGATTTGCAGATGAATGCATTCCCCTTGAACTGGACGCGATGTTGCCATACGGATTGTTCGTCGACCTACCTCGGTACATATCGTAAGGAGTTGCGGATGAATGTCTCCCCATTATGGCATTAAAATCATTACACATTACTGTCGTCGGGCTGTCAACTTGATCAACTTGTTCAGTCAGCCCATGGTGGGAGCTTAATGATTGACCCCGAACAGCACGCACTTGAACAAAATGTGCATACATCTCAATAATGGCGTCTGAATAATTACTTTGAGCTTCAACCATCATTTCAAAATCATCATTGTTCAAAAGTTCGAACGCTGTATAAGTTAATGGCAACAATGATGATGGAAATCTATACAGCAACGACGACACTCTTCTACTACTTCCAACATGAATCTTCCTCGAAATCTTCGTTATCAGCTCTTCAAGAGTTATGTTTCTCTTGAATGATATTTTAACACGCTCATTTGATAAGAAAACAACGCCGGTTTCATCTTCTCGAATTTCACCATCATAATAAACAAAAGCTGAAAGTCACGCCATTATTTGAGTTTAAAAGTGCGGCACTATTATATCTGCAAAAAAAATAAATGAAACAAACCTGATTTAATAAATTATATATGAACGAACATATAACACAATAAAATTTTTACACATCAACGTAAATAAATTAAATAATATAATTTAATATTATTACCTGCACCGTAAAACTATTTCGACGTATGCTCCCGCTTTCCAATTTTACAAACACAAAAATTAATTGAAAATAATTAGTATAATATTTTTTTCAAATAATCATAATAAACAATAAATATAATAAAAAATTATAACAAAATTACCTTATAACGAAAAATCGCACGAACTTCTAAATAAAATATGAGAAGGTTGACTCGTTGACGGAATTGTTGTATTAATTTATAAGTTGAGAGGAGAGATGTGAGAAATTAACCGGCGGAGAATGGTATTTATAGCGAGGAAAGTTATACAAAACGCGGTACCTGCCCCGTGCTATATAAAATTATTCAGGAGTAAAGGTATAGCGCGGTATACCCCTACGTGGCGTATAGCGCGCTGCAGGGGCCGCGCTATACCCACGTGGCGCCAGCTCACCGTATAGCGCGCTGCAGGGGGCGCGCTATACCCTACGTGGCGCCAAATCATCATATAGCGCGGTGCAGGGGGCGCGCTTTATTGCTAAGGGTGTTAGATCGGGAAATATAGTCTGACCGGTGTTAGATCGATAATATTACCGGTCACCAGTGATATATCGGGAAATCGCCAGTTATGTTAAATTACCTTGTACATTTTGTATAAAATTGATATTTTTAATTGAAATAAAAAAAATTGAAAACTTCAAAAAGTAAAAAGATTAAATTTGACTAGATTAGAGTAGAAATATATAACACAAATTAAACAATTATATTTAACATCTTATTAGACCTGTTTAAAGGGTCAAACATGAAATTTTGTTCAAAATTTTAAAGGTTTAGGCAAAAATATTTAACTTGAAATAAAACCCAAAATTTAACGAAAAAGAAGAAAATTATTTTCCACCTTCCACGTCAACACAAATAATGTCAAGTCATTTAACTGTCAAAGGTTTGTCAAAGGTTTAACGATCCAATGATTAAAAAATCAACTCAAAATCTTTAGTGCTGTGATTTAAACTTTTCATAGTTTAATGATAAAACTAAGAAATCAATTAAAGTTGAGTGACTAATGATTGCGTTTATCCAGTGATAAAGATAATGGTTTCAGTGCTATGATGTTACCTTGATATTTTGTTTCTGAAACTAAGGGAAAATAAGCTTTTTAACTTGATGAGCAACCACTGTTGGGCCATGGCAGAATCATCACCCGGTTCAGCCGCGTTCCAGAAATAAATCTCCGGCGACCTCGGTTCTACTTTTAGCTTCCTGTAAAACGGCAGCCATGTCTGGGAAAAACGTGCAGCTTCTAACAAAGCATAGAACGTTAGATCGGAGCAGCCATCATCGGACAGATACACACTCAGCTTCTAAGATGGGTAGTCATAGGCCATAACCGATAGCACCGTATTGATCACCATTGTCGGTGGCTCTATCACGGGGTCTGCCGTGCAAACAAAAATGTATACTCCCGGCAAAGTTTCTTCAACATACCTGTTTTTGTAAGAAATTGAATCACTTCAGTGTCTAATCTGTTAAAGAAAACTGGGGGAAAAAATGAAAGAATTAGACCTGGAAGAGAGCCTGTTCTTGAATGTGGAACGAAAGACAGTGTTCCATCTAACAACAACAGTGATGGAGAAGTAAAAACCGAACCAGAGTTCAGCAAGGAACATTCCGAACCAAGACAAGCTCTGGGTTGCCTTGTTGGAGTGGAAAATAGGTGAGTCGATAGAAACAAATGAAGAAGACGGTGATGAATATGGAAGCTGCATAGAGTCGAAAGAAGAGGAGGCCATTGGCAAGCCTGGTTTCGAAAAGTGGAAGATAGCCATTGCTTCCCATATCTCTCTTTCTTTGGTTTCAATGAGAAAGGGACCGTCTGGATTGTACAATTTGTTAATCATTGCAAGAGCTTTAGATGTGTTGATAATATGGACCCAGTGTATTTCCCCACAAAGGTTGGTTTTATCAGCCAATAAATGTGCTTAATTTGTTTTTTCGGATAAGTCTTGTTTGGTTTAATGTGAATGCTTAATTGTGAGGATATTGTCCCCATAAAACTAGATTTAAACAAACTTATAAAGAGGTTTCAGTGATTAAAAGGAGTGTTGTTCTTTCTAGAGATTTTAGGTTCGAGTAGTTTTATCCGTAGTTGAGAAAAATTTTGAACATATAATATCTTATAGTCACCTTAAACTATTAAAAAAAAAAAAAAAAAACTGGATTTAAACCATTGGTCATACAGCTTTATTTAGGCATTTAGTTTGAAGTTCAAATATCAGTATCTGTGACTTGTATTCAATACATGGCTATAGTACAGACTAACAAAGCGAAAATAACAGACTTGCAAGTAACTGAAGTAGGCATCTTGCCATTGTCCTTTCGGAAAAAGAGTGCTTGGTATACAGGCAAGTTGATTGTTACCAAAACCAAGCAGAGGAGAATTTGCAGCCCAAATTGGTCCAAAACCTTAGACTCCTCATCTGCATTCACGATAACCTTCTTGACTGCCCCTATGATACCGAATAGATTCAACATAGCAAGTGTGGCTAAAATATCGAACATCGGTGAGGAGGCACCGAACTCAATCAGCTCACTATCATATCTTTTCAGGACGTCTTCATCAGCTACTTTGGCAGTGACGATGAAGGATAGTTGTGAATATCCCAAGAGCTTCAAGATGGTTTCAATGAGGGAAAAGATGTACGAAGTTGTTCTCTTGAACATCCATATCCTTTGATCGTTGCACCAACCTTGAAGCGTTCCGCCGCACCATATGAATTCACCGAGGCTATATGCACGGTGTGCAAAGATAACATATGCGAACGGGAGCACCCAGGGACTTGATACCTGCAGGTTGTCATGGCCCTACAGTTATTCATATTGAATCCTACGAGATAGATAGTTAAGAACTCTGGAACTTCATCATACCTTAGGAAACAAGGAGATGCCTTTAAGCAGACAAAGGCATGGGACAGCAACATAATACAACGTTGCCAAGCAATTTGCAGCCCACAAGTTGAAAGGACAGTAACCGAGTCGAAGCTTAAGTGGAATCTTTTTATATCCATACAACAAAGGGCAGTATTTTGATAGGAAAATTTGAAGGTGACCTTCACCCCATCTCGTATGTTGCACCAGCAACTGCAGTAATGTTATTGGAGCAACTCCTAAGAAGCTTTCTCTTTCTGGGTTTAAATACATGGATTTCCATCCTCTACATTGTATACTCAACCCCGTAACTATATCTTCCACCGCAAAGCCGTACTTTAAACCCATCTGCCACCAAAAAAATTATCACCATTACCATTGAGAAATGTTAATCCAAGCCATCCATGCAATTATTCTTAAAGTATGTCATCTCTTACGATAACTGTAATAAACCAGGTGAAGTAAACTATGGGTTCATGTCTGTGTATGTTTCACATAAGGAGAACAAAATGCACCTCTTTTCCCCATGGTGTGTTGTGTTCAAAGGTACAGCTTGCAAGAACTTTACATGTTTCTTCAAGGAGGCTTGCACTTTCTTCAACCTTTGTATCATTCAGTTTCTTCCAATCAACCCTATAGTTTTCCTCGTATTTCTTCCCACAAAGAGCCTCTCTCCTGTGGAAGCATCCTGTGCCAATGTACATTGGCCCTCCATTTGCGTCAAGCCCTTGAATCTCTAGCTTTATTGTTGATATAACCAGTATAGACAGATCAAAGAGAACCCAAAAAAAAGAGAAAAATCATCAAGCATAATCATTGTTTCATAAAATTACCATTCCATTGTAGGCTTAATTACCTTTTGTATTACTCGGAGAGAGGTACTATAGGTTTCATTTTTGGTGAGATTATCGAAATTCTGAGGGAACTGTACATAGGCAATCTCATCTCCCTTCTCTTCATCCATGAAAATGCATAAAGAATATTTGATTGACTCTGAATTGTTGGAATACATATCGCAATCCACGTTCAAAATGATCGGACCATTGCTTATCTTTGATGATACCCTAATCTTTTTTTCACCATAAAATTCATTCAACAACATGCAAACTAAATTGCCTTGTATTCAAACATGTATAGTATATTATACTTACAAGGGAATTCATGGCCCCAGCTTTGAAATGGTGGTGATGTTGGGGTCTTTTCTCTCTTGACAAATACACAAGAGTTGGCAAAGGGTTTCCTCCAATATCCACAGCATTGGGGTCTCTTCCATCGATTAGGATCTAAAAAAGCACCATTAACTAATAAAAAAAGAACTGTTCAGAGCTTAATTAATAAACTGATTAGGTATGATTAATTACTTGAAGAATGGTTTGATGATCACGTTTGCTCGAAACAAAGTCCCACTCACGGAATCCTTTGTGTTGTATCCGTACGTGCTCTGGAATTCGGTTCAACTTTGTGGTGGTCTCGATCCTCATTTTCATGTCCACATATTGTTTCTGCAAAATTATTGAGAGTATATATAGGTTGATCTCTTATGGTATTCAAACTGATAGCTGCTGCGGTTTATGTCGTCGGAAACAAGAAACAAGATATCATATTTTCTTTGACTGTGATTAAGAATGTGTGAATTCAGTGAGGATCCAGAAATATTTAGGGTGGGCACACACAAATTAATTATTGAATATTTTCAAATTGGATGAGTATAAATAAAATTACAGAGTGAGCACAAATAATAAAATTGATAACTAAGATAAAGAAACTCAGAAACAAGACATGCTTGGCATCCGCCACTGTGTGAATTAGTATATTGTGAACTTATGACTTGCAAGAGGGGTTATAGATTGGAGTATGGAGCTTAATTGGGCTATAAGGATGCTTAAAGGGAAGTCCTTGCTCACTGTTACTCTAATTTATACAAGGTTCATGGAGTTATGTGAATAACTTAGCTCTCACGTTACCATAAGGTGACGAAAAGTTGGATCCGATCGAGCTTTGTACGATTTTAATGGAATTAAAGGGTTAGGTGTAACATTTCATTTAATAATTATTTGAGAGATACTTCATGCACACAAAAAAAGTTGGAATTTGAATGTTTTCGTCAACGAGGTTGATGGTGAGGTGAGCAGTGATGCATATGTTTTCATTTTTTTTATAATAAGTTGGTAAAAGAATTACACAAAGGGTGCAAATTGCAAGCAAACAGTCAAACAAGTTGCATGATCCATGTACGAAAGCGAACCAATGTTAAATATTTAAATTTACCTTGACGGAAAGCCAGTGTTGGACATTGACAGGATCATTGACTGGTTCAGAAGCCGTCCTAAAGTAAGCCTCGGGTGATCTGGGTTCCACTTTGAGCTTGTTGCAGAAAGGTAGCCATGTCTTTGAGAAATTCGCAGCCTCTAACATGCCATAAAACGTCAAATCCGATCCCCCGTCGTCTGATAAATAGACGCTTAATTTCTCAGGTGGATAATCATATGCCATCACTGATAGAACCGTGTTCACCACCATGCTCGGTGGCTCTAACAACGGATCCGCCGTGCACACGAATACGTCGACTCCCGGTAATTCTTTCCCGAACCTTTTAGTGAGCCTGTGTACGTAGGGAATACGGTAGACAGAGTTCCATCTGGAAACTGAGATGAGAAACCAGTAAAAACTGAACCATAGTTCAGAAAGAAACAGTCCAGTCCAAGCCATTCTCTTAGCTTTTCCTTCAACTGGGAAAAACCTGAGTCTATACATACAGATGAAGCATATGCCAAGAAATATTGAAGCTACAATCCACCTGAAAAGAATTCGTCCCTTAACTTGCTTTGTTTCGAAGAGTGGAACTTGATCGTTTTTACCCATTTCTCCCCCTCTCTCTGCGTCGATCATTTTAATCTCTACAAAAGTTAATAGTTTTTAAGGACGACTTTAAGTCCCAACAACGGTCCTTTAAAATTGTTTTTAAAAATTAATTATTTTTTTTAATAGAATCATCTAGTCTTACTAAAAAAATAAAAATATTTAAAATTACAATAAGAATTTACAGCTATCATCGTAAATTAAATACATAATTTTGACATTAACCAAAATATTAAAATGAAAAATAGATACGAATAAAAGGGGATTAAGCTATTAAAAGATCATTGAGAATTATAAATTAGAGCCGAGCGTCGTGAAAAATTATCAACGAACACAAAACAACGTATCTAAATTTTGAGTGATTTAAAAATTAATGAACAAAATTAATTTAAATAAAAAATAAGTATTTAAATTATATCATTGGTTTGTTTTATATGTTTATATATTTTTTTGGGATCAAGAATATATATAATATTTAAGGTGTCAAACGGTTAACGAATCATTAAAATAAGTTCATTATTCTGATGCGTATGATATATTTAAATTTCTTTTAATTTTATTTTTTTAAAAACTCAAATCAATAATTTTTAAAATCATGCTAAAATTCTTAAATCACTCAAAATTTTTGAATATTTAAATCCCATATGCGACTATTGAATCAGTCACCTTTAATCTCTCTTTTGTCTTTTTTTTTCTCGGCAAAGAACATATTATTAACTTAAAACAAAAGATAAAGTTCAACTTATGAGTCTCATTAAAAACCTCCCAATAATAAATTGGAGGAAAATAGTGCTACATAAGAGAACAAAAACAAACACTGCAGTCCAACAATAACCAGGACACAGTATTACTCTTGTAAATTCAACAAAGCGATAGTAACTAAAACCAAAAGCACCATAACAGGCCACCAGACGAATAACTCGAAGAAGATTCTACTACCGTATTAATACAATGGAGAGTCCAGCAGTAAGCTCTTCCTAATGCCATCAAACAAGTATGCAGGAAGCTCTCGACCAAAAGAAACAAACACCAGCCAAGCTACCATTCCACTATAGAAAATGAACTAGTAAAACAATAACAACACAAACAGACCACTACTTCTCTAGAATCAGTAACACAATCCAATTTAAAATCACCATAGGAACCACTTTCACAATGAACAAGGGCAACCCCATCCAACTAACCTCCAAAAAAGGAAAAAAATGTGATTAAAAAGCATCCAACTTATCATAAAACAGCAAAATATAATTGGAGATAAAACTTAATCGATCTCAATACAGAGAAATTGACCAGACCATATCCTTTAAATGCTACATTGAAAATGGCAATTCCAAACTTGATGCTCCTCCACTTTGGATTCTTCATAATAGAAGTAATTTGACATAAAAAACCAGCCCTTTAATCAATCATCGATTTGCTCCTTAAAAAAAACAATGCTCTGAAAATTATGCAATAATTAATTCCCCTTAGACAAGTCAAAATGATTGAACTTTTGCTTCCACATAACCTCCTGCAATTCTACAACTTTCTCTCCATACAGTCAAAAAATACTTGTGATCCATTTTAATCAGCACATCTAGTCCATCCACATTCCTTCTTCCTTAAGAACAATGATCCTAAATTTCGGCGCATAATCCTTACAAATGATGTAATCCAGTATAAACGACTTGCAACCAATAATTCTTGAACCCACGGCAAGACAGACTACCATTTTAATCAATCTACTAATATCCTTTCACAAGGATTATATTTATAATCTACTCTAGCTCCTCTTAAAACCATGACACAAACCTCTTAGTCAAACCGCTAAGACCTCCATAACCCCTAACACTCACACACCATCCTCAACTTCATTCTAGTGACGCTAAATCCTGAAGAATCTCACTTTCAGAACCAACAAAATTAATACCGAGAATCTTACCTAACGCCAATGTCTTCTCCGCTTCAACAGATGCATCAACCCATCTTCTCTTTAAATCAGAATCCGAAAGAGATCTACCTGATAATTTAGAGTAAATAAGATCATATTTCTTCATTTTTTCCTCTTCAACGCCTGATTTCTTCTTCTTATCTCCGCTTTCGATAGGACTTTGTCCTGAATATCCAAAAGAGATCCGTATTTATTCTTCAAGTTCTTATTTTTAGTAGAGTTTATCTATGGCATGACCGAATCCTCTACAAAATCTCCCCCAAATTGCTCACTTTTTGTTTTCTTCTTTATATCTAAATTACCTATATCAATTGGATTAGAGCCCAAATTTAAATCCATAAGAACTTCTAGGGCACCTACAAAATCCCCAGCTCTAACCTCCATCAATGTACCCCCCCTCATACATATTATTGACCTCATGAGAACCTAAAGCCATAGTCTCTACCCTAACATCGCCCACTCCCTGAACAACCTCCTGAATAGAGTGATTTTGAATTTGATTTTCTACTCTCTCTCTTTCTTCATCGAAACCACATCCACCCTCGATCGGCATCCCAACACTATCATTTCTACAATCTCCTAAGCTGTCTCCAGAACACAAAACATTAATTACGCCACCACTATTTTTCGTATCCCCTTTTATATCAGAAGAGCTTCCCGACGAAGACGCATCTGATGTATCTTTGGAAATTTTTACCGATGCACACCCTTCTTTTACAGCCCCAAAATCTACTCCAACCTTCTCATCCCCATTCTCTTCAATCTTGTAATTTTCATTCTTTGACAATTTAGCATTCGAGTGATCCACCATCCCTACTTCAAGAACTCGGACACCAAATTTCTGATTCTCCACCATAACTTCATCAATTCGAGCTTCCCACGAAGTGGATATCAACATTCTTACTTTTTCACAATCTATTTGATGTTTAACATTTTCACCATAAACTTCAAACGTACCCCACAAGCCAGCCAACCTTTTCAACGTGATTTCATTCCAGCAATGCAATGGTAAACCATCTATCTCTATCCATACAACTCTTTCCTTTTGACATAGAGTCTCTGTCCACAGCATGACATCCATAAAAATCTCTTTCAAGTAAGACCACTTAAGGTCTTCCTGCATGATAAACAAGTCTTCATCCTCAATGGTAAGTAGAAAGGCATTCCCATGTAATCTTTGAACTCTAATTTCCCCTAAGTCCCAGTTTTGTAATCTACCAACTATACTTCCAACACTACAAACACCAATCATAACGCCCACCAAACATCTCCTCAACTTTCTTACTTCGTCCTCATCAACATGACCCAATACTTCCTTTCTGGATGCTCCCTCTTGGCAAACCATCATACTTTGAGTTTTTTCTGACTCGCGATCTTTGATTTCCAGACCATCTCACTTTGCAAACATTTTTTTTGATCCTTCAACATATACTTGGCAAAACTTACTGATATACGACTGCCATACACCATAAGACCATTCAACTGTTCCCTAACTCTCTCTGCTTCAACCCAATTACTAACTTTTACGAATCCAAACCTTGTTCTTGCTCTACTCCTCTTCTTTGGAATATACACACTAAGAACCTCACCATAACACCCCACTACCTCCCATAATCCTTTCCAGAGAATAGAGTTTGGTAAATGTTGACGAAAACGGGTAAAGAAAACAAAAGAACACGAGAATTTTACGAGGTTCGGCAATGTGCTTACGTCCTCGGTGCCTAGGCGGCGCTAGAAGTTTTATTCAATGATATTTTAGGTCTAGGTTACATCTCTATTTATAATAGAAAACCCTAGTACATAATTATAAAATCAACACTGTCCTCTTTACTGGTATATTTATGAGCCATACCTAACAAATCTCCACCTTGGCAAATGTCCTGCCCCTTGGAAACTTCAATGTGGGTTGGGTTACCTTGCTTCTTTAACAACTCGAAATATTCAACAAGTCCAAGCAATGCTTGAACTTGTCTATCGTAACTGGCTTGGTGAACATATCAGCGGCATTCTCATCAGTATGTACCTTCTGAAACAAAACCTCTCCAGATGCAACCAACTCTCTGATCTTGTGGAACCTTACATCAATATGTTTAGTTCTAGCACGATACACCTGATTCTTAGCCAAGTGAATAGCACTTTGATTATCACAAAGCAACTGAACTCCACCTTGTTGAACACCCAACTCCTTCACTAAACCAGTAAGCCATAAAGCTTCTTTTGCAGCTTCAGCCGCTGCCATGTACTCAGCTTCAGTTGTAGATAGAGCCACAACAGATTGAACAGTAGACTTCCAACAAATAGGCCCTCCACCAAGAGTAAAGACATACCCTGTCGTAGATCTTCTATTATCCAAGTCACCTGCATAGTCTGAATCCACATATCCTACAACCAAAGGATTATCCCGCTGACTCCCAAAAACAATTCCATGTCCCACAGTACCCTTTAAGTATCGAAAGATCCACTTGACTGCTTCCCAATGTTGCTTACCAAGTTTAGACATGTACTTACAAACTTGACTAACAACATGAGCTAAATCAGGACGAGTACATACCATCGCATACATCAAGCAGCCAACAACATTAGAATACGAAACCTTTGCCATAGCTTTAGCTTCCTTATCTGTCTTAGGGCACTGTTCTGATGAGAGCTTAAAGTGATTCACCAATGGAGTGCTAACTGGTTTCGCGCTGCTCATCGCAAACCTTTCTAGCATTTTCTCAACATAACCCCGTTGAGATAGCCGCAGTTTCCTTGAGTCTCTGTCCCTGCAAATTTCCATTCCAAGAATTTTCTTTGCAGCACCTAAATCTTTCATAACAAATTCCTGACTCAATAAAGTTTTCAAACCGATAACATCATCCATGTTCTTCGCAGCAATCAACATATCATCAACATACAGTAATAGAAAAATAAAAGAACCATCATCAAGGCTCTTAACATAGACACAACAATCATACTCACATTGGTTATAGCCAATCTTGATCATATAGGAGTCAAACCGTTTATACCACTGTCTCGGAGACTGTTTCAACCCGTACAAAGATTTCTTCAATCTGCAAACTAAATGCTCGTTTCCAGATTGAGTGAAACCTTCAGGTTG